TTTATAAAGTTGGGACATGACAACACCCCCTGCCCTGGGATCTTTGGTATTTTCCAACCCTCTCTTTGTGAGGTGTACTTAAAGTCACTCACCCTCATTGGTCCGGACCCTTGCTACTCTTTATGGGCCTATTTGGCATCTGGAATTAGTCATGCTGTAACAGCCAGCCTGCTTCCACCCTTACACTGTGATGAAGCAGTGTACATGGCAGTCCCTACAAATTAGAAAATTAGGTTTCAAGGAAAGGGTCACGCATTTGACAGCATAGGGTAAGAAGGAGGAAGGATGTAAGTGCACTGACATCCATAAGGGAATTTACCAAAACTGGAGCAGCTCTGCATGGCAGCCAATCGCCTTCTCTATTTCATTTTCAAGTCTTAAACTGAAGAGAGAAGCTGACTGGTTGCCATGGGCAACTGCTCCAGATTCTTTCTGCTCCAGTTTTGACAATCCCCCCCTCCGTGTTTAGGCATTATCTTGTAGTGTTTTTAGGTGTCTCAGTCCTTGGTAAAATTGGACCGCTCTCCAACAAATGTTAACTGCCATTCTACACCACCACCTCTCAACAGTTTTTTTATTGTCTATTGTTAGTTAATTACATTTGAATGCAACTAAACTTGAACTAACCTGTGTATGATGGTAATGCCCCCCTCAAGATGGGAAGAGATTTAATCTATTATGGATACTGTGCAAGCCCAGCCTGGATAAAGCAAGAGAAAGAGTTGCTGGAATAAAACAGTCCCTTGAAGAACATAATCCTTGCAGAAGATGGGAAACCTTTGTATTTTCAATGAGTGGCCTTTAATCTTAGTAAAATACATAATTTGCAATAAACTGGTGTGCTGATTTATTTTGGCACATATACTTACTACAACTCCGTAAGGGGACCTTCCTCTTGAAAGTAACATCTTAAAAAAGTTAGACAGAAGGGGGTGAAAAGGTAGAAAGATGTTTGTACAAATAGTCTGAGTTTTCTTGTAGTGTTTTATATGTCCTAGTTCAACTTGGACTGCTCTCCAGCTATTCTATGTGAAGGTTCTATTTTATTCACATATATTCATAGTATAGATAGTATGGTAGTAGTTAGTCATATCTAACCTGGACTTGCTCTATAATTATGAAGACGTTTTATAGCTTATCCAAACAACTTTGTCGGTTCTGTTCTGCTTTTCAGCAAATGTTCACTGTTCTTTGTTTGTTCAAGAGCTTTGACAGTTCTTTGTATGTAACTGAAAAAAATATATGATGAAAAGATTTTGCTATAATCATCCTCTGCCTGCAGGTTTGTTGATATTGGTTTTTATATATGCAACAATGCATTTTAAATTCCGAATGAAATGATGCATCATTACATCTAAACACAACACAACTGGAAGGAACCTAATACTTAACCAACCGCTCAGTGTCTGCAACCTCCCTCTGCCAATCCCTGCACTGGCTTCCAATAGCCCAAAGGATAAAATTCAAAATATTAACAATCAGTTACAAAGCCGTCCACAACTCTGCCCCTGGCTTTATCTCAAACGTGGTCTCAAAGTATCACCCTAACCGTCGGCTCCGCTCATCCCAAGACCTTCTGCTTTCCAGCTCCCTTGTCAACTCCTCCCATGCTCGCCTCCAGGACTTCTCTAGAGTCTCTCCCATCCTCTGGAATTCTTTACCCCAACCTGTCTGTCTGTCGCCCACCTTGACTGCCTTTAGGCGATCCCTAAAGACTCATCTTTTCAGGGAAGCCTATCCCACCTCAACCTAACCGCTCAACCATCACGTTCTCAAACAATTCATCCCCACGCAGCTCCCTCCTCATGTATCACTTCCCCCTCCCTTTTAGATTGCAAGCTCTCAGGGGCAGGGCCCTCCTTACCATCTTGTCTTGAATTGTATTGTGATTGTAATGTCTGCCCTATATTGTAAAGCGCTGTGCAAACTGTTGGCGCTATATAAATCCTGTATAATAATAATAATAAATGCCAGGACCAGGTCCTAGATCGGAAGAGGGTGCTAAACTATTCTGGAAATTGTGAAACTTTCCAAACTGCCTGTTAGCCATCAACAACAACTCTATTAGGATAAAGATGGTTCCTCACAGTGGTGCAGATATTTCAAGATTATATTACAAGATCTATTTCTCTGCTGTGCTTCTCAAAATCAGATTACTGCTTCACCTCTATGTATGTTGAGTCCTATCACAGCAGCAGTGACTTCAGCATCTGCAACCACAGTGTAATATTTAGCTTGACCTGCCAGAGGATACGTTATTACCTGGTATGAGAGACTTTATTTTTATATATTTATCTCCAGTGACACATTGAGAAGAGGGAAGCGCTTCGAGCAGCCATACTGTAAGATGAATCTCACCTTGGCCAAGAGGATTTATCATAGACTTATAGAGGCTGTAATGTTCTGTAAATAGTTATTTTATGTGTTATTTTTTTTTAATCTTGTTTATTAAAAGAATTGACTCTTCTGTTTATTCGACTTTGAAAAAAGTATTTATAAGGACCCTTGAATTATTTGAAACATACCAATTGGCAGAATCAAATGGCATAGGCTATGGCTGTGTATTGTTCAGAAATCTTTTTTTATTTAATTTGTAGGGTGTTTTGTTATTGGTAAACCTCCTTTGCTCTGTTTCTGTCTTATTATATTAAAAACTTACTAAAGCACCTTTTTGTAAATCCAAGGTTTTGATGTGGATTTGACTGTTGCACAGGAACCTTTCACCCACAGCTACCCTACCAACAAAGGCAACCAGGGAAAGAAATTATGTCATGGGGAAGGGAAGAAGTATTTTTATGCATATAATATTTTCCAATTATAGATTTTTTTTCAAAGTAGTACAGTCTTCCATATCTCATGGTGATTGGTTTAGGGCAAATAGAGAGATACATAGATAAACTGTCAACTAAATATAAATATAGAAAATACACATGCCCTGAAAAAAATCAGGTATGTATAGACAGGCCAGGCACTAGGGGGGCCCAGGCTGGGCAGGGGCTGCATGTGTGAGCGCCCTTCCTGCTACTGACTTCTGTGCATATCCTAGTAAGTCAGTCTTAAAGGCTCTGTACGATCGATTGTGCATCTTAGCAATCTGCAGAACTCCTAACCACAAAAAAAGCATACCGGGACAATGTGTGAGTGTGGCTGATGATGTCTGCTTGACATCATTAGTAACATCCACACAATTTTTGCTGATCTACTCTTCTGTGCTTCAGAGTCCTGTGTCTCGCACATTGCACACGCCAGCACTGACAGTCACACAGAGCGTTGAGGGGTCAGTCAGGTTGGCTGTACAGGGCCCAATAATGTCTAATGGTGGAACAGCATATAGATACATATTTAAAACAGATGAGCTGTTGAAGCTTGATGAAGGATAAAAAGATTCATATAAACAGACAAATAGCCATATCGGTAAAATACCCATTTTTGGCATGCTTATTGACCTTTTCCTGCAGTTATTAGATTAGTTAGGTTGATAAAATATCCTATAGGATTTTCAATAACAACCATTCAGCAGAGACAGACAATAAAAGCAAAAAAATAACAGTAGTTCTTGCATATAACACACTGTATTGTCTATATCTTAGTGAATTAAGACTCCTTTCAAAACAGGTTATGGAAGTCTTTGCCATGGATGTTTACTAACAGCCAGAGACTGTCTATAAACTATAAATGCATAATGTGTACAAACGGGCCCTCTCTACCCTAACCGCCGCCTGAAGCTTTATAGTGGGGGAAGTTGTGGTGGCAACAGATGCGGTGGGACCGGTAGCTGTGTTAGATCCATGTTACATTGTTGCCCTGATGAAGGGTCTGCGTGGCCCCGAAACGTTGGTTATAATTATTGCAACATGTATGATGATTTGTCCGATTAAATGGACTTTATCGTTTGAATATTTTCCACTGAGTGCTGGTGATTCCTGTTCATTTGATGTGCCCGGCGCCATCCGTGAGTATCACTGCAAGCAACATTATTGGGATTCGCGCCGGAGACGCTGTGAGGAGTGCAGGGGGACATATTGGACTTTAATACTGTGTTAGATCCATGTCTGTCAGCGGCTCTCTGTTCGGTCCTGCCCAACCCACTGATGTCACTGGTTGCCAGGAGCTTGGCGGGACACCAACCAGAGCGTCCTGTTCAGCTCCCTAGCAACTGATGACGTCAGCGAGCTGGGCGGGAAGCCAGACAGAGTGGACAGAGCCACAGGTTGGTAAGAGCTCCCAAACTTAAGCTGTGGCGCAACTGCCTCAGGCTGCCTCTTTAAAGAGATGGTCCTATATACAAACACAAAATGGCTGTAGGACAGCAAATCATATAGTCCAGGGGTGCCCACAAGGTCGATCGCGATCGACCAGTCGATCGCGTAGCGATCACTGGAAGATCGCCATGTCCTCTCCTCCCGCCGCTTCTCTTGATCCCCGCTGCTCCCATGCAAAAATAGTGCTCGCAGCATTTTTGCGGATCGCACTGGACTGGAACACAGGCACTAATGCAGGCGATTGCACTGTGGGCGAGGGGCCTGCCTGCGCAGCTCACGCCCCCTCCCGCCCCTGAATGCAGATGTTTTTTCGTTGGTAGATCTCAATGAGCTCGCCATTTGAAAAGTAGATCTCCAGACGAAAAATAGTGGGCGCCCCTGCTCTACACCCATGTTGCAAGCAGCTACTACTGTTTCAAGTCATTCCAAGTGCTATTGTATTATCTTGTATGTCTCTTATATATACTCAGATGCATATATTGACCACAGGAGCATATAATTGTATGTATGTCTCTACTCTAATTTCAATAAAAACCTATTTGTGAAAAAAACAACAAAAAAAAAGGCTGAGTACAGTCTTTGGTTCAGTATGACTACAAATGCTTTGTAAAGCATTATTTTTGGGCAGTCCTAACCATATTTTCTATATGATATTGCATTTATCATGGCAGTTTGGGGTATGTATTTGATATTCATTTTTTATCACACAAGTTAAAAACATTTTTGTTTGCTTTGCAGGTGATGATGCATATCCCGTGACAGAGTGGCTTCTCACACCTATAAAATATCCCAAAACTAAAGCGGAAAAGAGTTATAATGCAGCACACAAGACTGTCCATTCAGTTATTGAGCGCACCTTTGGATCTCTAAAAAGTCGTTTCCGGTGTCTTGATCGGTCAGGGGGTGTACTACAGTATTCTCCAGAGAAGGGAGCACAGATTATACTGGCATGCTGCATCCTACACAATTTAGCTGTCAGCCGAAATCAGCACGTTGACATCCTTGATGATCTTGAAGCACCACCACCAGTGCCACCTGTTTCGCGAGAGGAGAACACTGAAGCAGGAAAACAGACCAGGATGAAAGTGATTAACCAGTATTTCACATGTAAGAAACTTTTTCATTGCAGATTTTTCTGTATAGTCCAGTCCAATTGATTTTGCAACTTTGGGTGGGGCTTGATTGACTGAATCAGCCACTCATTGATTATATTCCTATATAGGACATATAGAGAGGGTGAATCTACCCAGTGGGGATGCAGACAGCAACCAAAATAAGTCCCATACAAACATTTTAAAGGTGGTCCAACGCACACCTAAAAATTGTTGTCTATATTTGGTTATGTTAACTACATAATTTGCGAATGCATAACTGAAAATGTATTTCCTAAATGTTTGCACAAAATTGAGTTTTAAACATATGACATATGGAATGAAGTCCTAAATCTTATGCAGTATTATCCAGCAGGTTTTCGACACTTCCTGGTAGTGTTGGGTGCTGGCTTCACCCTTCACCCCTCTTTCTTCCTTTACGTTCCTACTGGCCAGTAAGGCTACCCATCACAGTGATGGGTGATCAAAAACATGTATGAGGTGGAGGGCATGGACAGTATCCAACACTACCAGGATGTGTAAAAAATTACCCGTAGAAACTGCTGGGCATTTGAGTCTCTCTAGTTGCAGTAGAATGCATCTAAAGATATGTCCATGTGGATAATTCCTAGGCATACCTATCAGCATAATGATAGTGGAATGTTTCAGCACAGTTGGTTTTGGTCTTAGTAGAGGGTAAAATTGGCAGTTCATTGTTCAGTATGTGTTGGTTGCTTGTAGGCATACACCTTTTAAACCAGGAAAATTAAATTAAGGGAACCTCACACAAGGATGTTGCTAGGGTTCTAAAGATCTGGGTATTTAGATTCAAATGTTGTGAGACTTTTCAACATAACAAAAGCATAGGCGAGCACAGCCTATTGCATTAGGGCAGGTGTGCACATTAGGTAGATCGCGATCTACCAGTAGATCGCAAAGCGAACACTGGTAGATCGCGATCGGCTCACTGACCTATGTCCTGTCCTCCCGCGGTGCTCGTGTGGCTGAATGTGTCAGACACCGCAGAAGGGAAGGAGAGGAGACTTGGGAAGCTGCTACAGTGGAGGTAAGAAAAGACAGACAGGGGAGAGACAGCAGAGAGAGAAGAGACAGCAGATAGAAATGGGAGAGAGCGCGAGAAGAGAGGGCCGGTTCACACCACAAAGTCTGCGTTCCAGAGAGTTAGGCCTCTAGAACGCATTGGAACACAAGCCGGCCGGCTCCCTGCGGGAGGGGTTGTGGCGGTGCATTGAAGTCAATGGCACCACAGCCACGCCCCCCCACCCTCAGTCTGATCGCCCGCATCCAGAATGCAGGCACATTAATGCCTGCGTTCTGGTCCAGCGCGATATGCAAAAATGCAGCATTTTTGCAGATCGCACTGTACCGGAACGCAGGCACTTATGTGCCTGCATTCGTGGTGGAGCGATTGCACGGGGGGTGGCTGTGGTGCCATTGACTTCAATGCACTGCCATGCCCCCTCCTGCCCCTGAATGCAGGTGTTTTTTCTTTGGTAGCTCTCATTGAGCTCGTCATTTGAAAAGTAGATCTCCAGGCGAAAAATTGTGGGCGCCCCTGCATTAGGGTGTGCACCCAAAAGCACAAACACACACGTTTCGATTGAAAAACATTGCATGCAAATGAATGTCAATGCAGCACACCTTCCATATGCATAAGTAACGCATAAGCATATACTGCTTATATTTCCACTGTTCTGTGTGTTCTATGCAATTCACTGCTGTCTGATGGTACCTACAGTCTGCCTTCTCCTGTATATTACTGCTTGGGTTCAGACTATATAAAAGCTGGGCCCCTCACCTGTCATATTGCCACCCTTGGGCCCCTCACCTTTGTTATGAACCTCTCCACCCGTGATTTCCTCATCCTTGAAGATAATGTCCAAGTTCTAGTTGCGGGTGAGCTTCTTTAAGCGCTGGAAGTTGCCATCGTACCTCCTGCTGGTACCCAGAGTCTTCTTAGGCACATTGTAACTTCACTGCTTGTAGAAACGGGTGAGCTTGGCAGGACTTTGGCTCCTGCCCACCACCCTGCCCTGCCTGCAGGCTCGCACCGCCAGGCTAAGGATCAGAAAGGCGCCGTAGAGCAGCTCCATGGGGCTTCCAGGCTCCCTGGGGTGCAGATCACAGGAGCTCCATCTTCCATCAGCATGCCACCAGCCATGTGTACGCATGGGTGATTAGGGTGTGCCCAGGCACACCTGGCACACCCTGTGAACATGCCTATGAACAAAAGTGGGTGACGCTTTTTTTGTATTCCATGTCATCTCTATTCTCTTTGCTGTTTTCCCTCTGAGTCTTTTCCCCTTGGTCTTACTTACTCTGTTAGAACTCGGCCATTAACATTCTGATCCTTTTCTGTCAGCAGTCCCAAGCTAGAAAACCTGGGCACCTAAAAGATCACTAAATGATCCCCATAACATAATTCTAAAAAAAAGAGTGCGGAGGTGAGAATAGATGTAGCATATAAATAAATACATAAGCAAAAATAAGCAAAGGTTTAAATTATGTTTGTCATATTTGGAATGATGAAGACAAGTAGTCACACATGGCCTGAGTGCCAGAATGTAGCAATGACTACGACCTCACCCGTTGGGTCTGGATTCTGTCAGAAAACCTAATGCCTTTAGAAAACACATACACATCACAAGTATATGTTGGATACTTGTGATGTGTATGTGTTTTCTAAAGGCATTAGGTTTTCTGACAGAATCCAGACCCAACGGGTGAGGTCGTGGTCATTGCTACATTCTGGCACTCAGGCCATGTGTGAAGGTCAATGGGCACGGTAACTCCACTGTATAGGTCTGAAGTAGGCCCTAATGTTCAAGTGCTGCCAAACCATAGTTTAAAGGTACAAAGGTACTTAACTTTTCCTAAGAAACCGCAATGTATCACTATATTGTTTACTGCATAAATTTGTGTTGGAGGCCTATTGTAAATCAATAGAAGTGCCCCCAAAACACATACACAACACAAGTATCCAACTTAGGTCGATGGGCACGGTAACTCCCCTGTATAGGTCTGAAGTAGGCATTAAAGGAGAACTATGGGGTCAGTGCTTTTCCCCATAGTTCACCTAAGGGTCACGGGAGGACATAAACTAGCGTCCTCCCGTGACCCAAAGCTCAGTATATAGCGAGCCACAGCTTGCGGTACACTGAGACTACCGCAGCCGGGATGGATCCCGACATTACTGTCGAGATCCACCCAGCTGCGTGAGTGACAGCTGACTCTGCGTATCTAGAGGCAGAGCCAGCTGTACCCTCCGTCCGTTCCGCCAGTCAGCGCTGGAGGATCGGACAGGGAAGGGGGGGAATCCCTGCAGGGAGCCGTGAGTGACAGTCACGGCTCTCTGCAGGGAGATGATCGAGAAGTGAGCGAGCGACGCTATGTGTTCGCTCACTTCCCGATCTATTGAGCCGACGTGTGACAGTTTTGTCACACATCGGCTCGAACTATGAGGTTGAGTGAAAATCACTCACCTCATAGTTCTCCTTTAAATCAAACCTGCTTTCACTTGAATAGACAGTTTAATTTAAGTGCAAATATGCAATTAACAGAGTACCTGAGAGAATCTACCAAACAATATCTACAGCTTTGGATGCAGTGGGTTTTTAAAAATAAATATTACAGAATTTATTTCTGCAGTTTAAAAAGCCTGACTACTGTATAATATGTGTAACTACAGATTTACTAACACAAAGTTGAAACCATTTCAATGTAGCATTGAATTTACAATAGTTCAGTTTTTATAATTTACTCAAAGAATGTACTTATTACTTACACCAAACTGATGACATTTTTATGTGTGAGGGTGCACAGTTTTAGTTGTGTGCACCCTCATGATTATGCCATAATAAAAACAGCATGGATTGTCATGTGATCACAAAAATAGTCTAAAATAGTGTTTTGTATATAGCCGTTGTTATATGCGTGTCAAATAATAGCTTTATTTTTCTTTTTTCTCCCTTTCAGGAACTCTGGCTATCTTAATTTCCATTGTTGTTTCCTAATAACATGGATTGTCTACACTCCTCTACATGGACTTACAGTCACATCTGTATTGACCTTAATTCATGCATAGAGTTGGGTATCTTAATCATGTATAAGTTTAGATTTATAGAACTTGTCAGCGTCATACTCTTGCCCTACTTTTCCATGTATTAAAATAGAACACTATTTTGTAGCGTGCATCTTATCCTTTATTTAATTTTTTTTTTAGCTAGATGAAAATTTACATCTTTAAACAAATTCTTTTAGCAGGTCAAGAACACTTTTTTTGTAATGTTGACTCTATATCTATACAAAACCTAGCTAGTGCACCTGTCTTCCTAAAGCCTAACTAAGCAAGCTTGCCATTCATGCATTCATTTTATGTTTTCTACATTTATACTCCATTAAGTAAAACAAAAACGTACTTTTCGGACTTGAAGTAAAATTGTAATGGATTTGTCAGAAAAGGATAAGCAGTGGGCTTTATTGGTGTTTTAAACCTTTGCTATTTGTTCCACAAAGTATAATGTAAATTGTGCAGCTAAATATATGTTCAGATTCTTACATGTGTAAGTATTTCCATTGTCACTGGCACTATGAATTAAACTTCCGTACACAGATCTCTCACAGGATGTTATCGGTCTTGACTTTAGGTTGTATAATGAGTTTTCTTTCTTGACATTACAGCAGTCTAGTGATGTCATATAGTGTGAATGTAAGCTTGTTTTTTCTCTGCTCTGCACCCAAACCCTCCAAAATATATATATTTTTTTTCACAAAATGTTTATTGAGTGGAAACAAAGAAAAAACATCAGTGTCACTGTATAAAAGAGAGAAAATACACTTCACGTGTGACATACAGAATCGAAATTATGGCAGAAGATAAATCGCTTGAAAGTGACCAATTATAGCAATTATCAAACCAGTAATAACAGCAATTTGGGTAATGGAGAATAATGGAGATGTGGAGTCACGTCATTGATAAGTGCCACAACATATTTTTGTAATCTACTGCTTGTCTTATTTTTAAATCAGTTTCAACCTGTTGATTATTTATCTGTGGGTCCTTAACGAGCATACACACTCCAAAAAACGTCCTGACATTACTTTTCCCAACGAACCGCAATGCAGCACAGTATTCTTTACTACGTGAATATGTGTTGGAGGCCTATTATAAATGAATGGGAGCACCCCCAAAACACATACACAACACAAGTATCCATCATAGGTCATTGGGCACGGTAATCCCACTGTATAGGTCTGAAGTAGGCCTTAATGTTCAAGTGCTGCCAAACCATAGTTTAAAGGTACATAACTCTTCCTAAGAAACCGCAATGTATCACTATATTGTTTACAGTATTGTTTACTGCATACATTTGTACATACACAACACAAGTATCCAACTTAGGTCGATGGGCACGGTAACTCCCCTGTATAGGTCTGAAGTAGGCCTCAAAGGAGAACTATTGGGTCAGTGCTTTTCCCCATAGTTCTCCTATGGGTAATGGGAGGACACAAACTAGCGTCCTCCCGTCACCCTAAGCTCAGTATACCGCGAGCTACAGCCCGCGGTATACTGAGACGCCGCAGCCGCGACGGATCCCGACATTACTGTCTGGATCCACCCAGCTGCGTGATTGACAGCTGGCTCTGCCTATCTAGAGGCAGAGCCAGCTGTACCCGCTCCCTCCCCCGTCCGTTCCGCCAATCGGCGCTGGAGGATCAGACAGGGGAGGGGGCAATCCCTGCAGGGAGCCGTGACAGTTACGGCTCCCTGCACGGACAGGATCGAGAGTTGAGCGAGCGACGGTATGTGTTCGCTCACTTCCAGATCTATTGAGCTGACGTGTGACACTTTCATTGTCACACGTCGGCTCGAACTATGAGGCTGAGTGATTTTCACTCACCTCATAGTTCTGCTTTAATGTTCAAGTGCTGCCAAACCATGGTTTAAAGGTACAAAAGGTACTTTACTTTTCCTAAGAAACCGCAATGCATCACGATATTGTTTAAAGTATTGTTTACTGCATAAATGTGTGTTGGAGGCCTACAATAAAGGAATAGAAGTTCCCCCCAAAATACATACACAAAACACAAACTCCCCTGTAAAGGTCTGAAGTAGGCCTTAATGTTCAAGTGCAGCCAAACTATAGTTTAGGGGTACAAAAGGTTGTTGAGATACCATCATGTTATGTTATAAAAAGAAAGAGCTGTAAAAAAATCAGCAAAATATACTATGTAGCAAAACGTTTGTGGACACCTGACCATAAGAGGTGTTAAGGTGCCAACAGACATTAGAGAATGTTCACTTGATCTGTCAATTTACAGTTGCGTATATGTATTTAAACACATCCATGACTGTGAATGACCCTTCGTGGCAGAGCTGCTTGGTCAAAGTTTATTGTCCTGTATGTATTTTCTCAGACAAGCATCCGAGCGCTTCGCCCTCTTTCTGGTATAAGGATTAACACATTTTCTTTATTGCTCATTAAGTGAACCAGAACATACTGCTGCCTTCAGGACGAATTGGACACTGGAAAACTAAAAATGAATTGGCAAGACAGCTATAACCACTCCCAACATGCTGCAGTTTTTGCTGGTTTTCTAGGAGGATGTATATCTTTTCTCAACTCAGAAAAGCTTTTAGCTTACTTTGCAGCTAATCCTCAGCTCTGCCTTGGAGGCCTTACACGGACCCCAAAGAACGGAAGATTGCAGGGCTACCCTGGATTGTGCTTTTAGGAACTGGGCTATGCCGGTGGCACTATCAAGTGTTTGAGATGCTGTATTAGTTAGCCGCAGAGCGCTTTATTCAGGTAGAGAACCGTGACACTGCCTTTGGTGTGCCTAAGCTCTCTTGGCTCTTTAATAGTATGCCACATGGAGGTTGCCATTATGTCCCTTATCCGTCGCTCTCTATGGAAAGAGTCAATGTGCTGATAAATCATTGCGCCATACTACCTCTTAATGTTATGGTACTAGTCACTTTTGACATGGAACAGAAAGTGACTTTAACTAATGCAGTTTCAAGCCTGGACGTCAAGCCTGTCAAAACGTATTAAGTTCACTCCTTACTTCAACCTGTTCTTTATGCTGACACACTAAACTGGAAAAATCGTATTTTCTTCTCCCAAATGTTTGGATTATCATTCTCGGTTGATGGAGATTTTATCAAGCAGTTGTCTGTACCCATTGTGGATCTGGTGACATCTCACCCTAATATAACACTGACTGTACCTGCTGAGGATGCACAAGTGCTAAGCATACTACAGATAATCCTTAAACTCTTTAGCAGAATGGACTCTTAGCTTTTGACTAATGCCCCAGCTACAATCTTAACTGATCATTTAAGGAGCGCAAGCACTTGAAGCTTTGGTCTTCAGCTATACATTGCTGTTTGGATGACGTTATTTGTCTGATCACCCGTATGAGTCTGCTGTTAGTTAACATACGGTGGACTCCCTGGCTGAAGTGTTGGTCTGCGGAACAGCAATGCAAAAAATGCTAGCTCCGCCCAATCATTTTCTCTTTTTTTTCTTCTAATTTTTTTTACTGTTTTTCTATTCTGCTCGGTACCACAGAAGGTATCGAGCAGAATAGCCGTGCTATTCACTCACTGCTGTTCGGCATTCATAAGAATAGGCCAAACAGCAGCGAGTAGCCTGACGGAGGTTCGGCTCAGTCGATCCAGATGTTGGATCAGCTGAGTCAAACTCCTTCTGCACTTCGGGTCGGCTGAACATGCTGAGCATGTTTGGCGGACCCGAAGCCACCCGATGTACGGCTGATTTTAGTCGGTGTACGGTTGAAATCAGCCGTACAAGCCTGAAGTGAATACCCGAACAACGTTCGGCTCACTTCGGGTCGGTTATTCACTCGGCTACCTAAGGCAGCTTTGTGAATAACCCCCTAAATGTTTTCAAGGAAAAAAAAAGAAGCAAATTCAATTCTGTTTGATTTCCTGCCGATAGATATCCCATGACTTGAATGACTGCAAAACTTCAGACATACTTTCAACATTATGCTGTGCGTTAGTGTGTGTTGGCTTAATGAACTACATTCATTTTAAATGGGTTGCCAATGCACCATGTAGCAGAAACCATACTGGACCTTTTTTTTTTTGCTTACGCAGTGCAATGCAACAAATGTCAGGAGCATTGTGGTGCGCTGCAGTAAGGGTGTGTTCCCTGCTACTGTATTAGTCCATTGGAGCGTCTTTCAAAATGAAAAGCAAAGCACTGCACCTAGGTATGCAATATGGTTGAAGTGACATTAAAGTCAAAAGTCCCCCACCCCCCATGTTAATGTTAGCACTTATGTCCCACGGTGTCTGTGCGGGTGCACGCTGCTCCATAGACTTCCCTTGTGTCTCCCCTCGTCTCCCGGCCGAACATCTGAACTGCGCATGCGCCCACAGTGTTTTTGCGGCTGCCGGAGACTCTTCAGATGTTCGGACAGGAGCGCACGGTGAAGACACAGGTAATTTTAAACCTGTTTGAAAAGGTTTTTTTTTAAATATTTTTTTAATATATCTACTTCTTGCTAGCAATAGATACATGCAACAAACGTGAGGGTTTAATAACCCTTTAACAGTGTGTTTTACTGCCTGTTAAAGCGGTGTTTACATATGTGGGGCTCTAGCTTAGTCAATTTAGAATAGCCATATGCCTATTTTATGAACATAAAATCTCACCCTACCTGTCCGTGAAAGGAAGATTAAATGTTTTAGCTGCTGCAAAACTGCAATTAGACTGTATTAAAGTATGTTGGATTAGGGGACTTTTTGAGCAACTGATTGTGAATATCACTTCTTATATAAATATCAGAAACCTACAATAGGGTTCTAGGGTACTTCTTGTTACCTTATTTTCCAATGTAAATGGATAGAAGAACTCCACCTCTCAAGGAAACAAAAACGAGACTTGCACTGATTTTGCCAACCTACCTGGATAGATGTTCACATTATGCAAGCAAGTGGAAAAAAAAAAATCATACTACACAACATTAGTATTATTTATTTATTTTTGACTAATTAAATACAATTGATTTGGTATTCCCTAACTGTTTAGTTTTTGGTAGGAATGCATTAAAAATAATGGCCAAATATACTTTGTCACAAAAATTTTATGGAAGAAATTCTTCTGCTTAGTTGCAGGTTCATAAATAAGGATGGAGTGATCCATGGGAAATGGCTCCCAGAAGCAGTAGTGGGAAAATAATATCTCATCATCAAGGCACAAATTAACAACTTCAGCGTAGAGTAACCAGCTCCTCTGAAGAGGTGGGGTGAATGGCAACAGTGTTATCAAAGTCTTTTTTGGTTGCTCCCATTTTGATGGCCACAGCAAATCCTTGCAACATCTCATCACACCCAAGTCCTTGCATGTGCAAGCCAACCACCTGGAAAAAAAAAACATTTAATTTTCAACCAATGTAAATATTTTCTGATCCCAATCTGTAGTAAATACTTCCCTTATTTATATATGGCATATTGGCCCCTTAACATACAGCACTGACACCTTCAAAACACAAATGTTCCATAACACAACAATATAGGAAAAGGAATCACCAGCACTCAGTAGAATAATCCAACATACCCAAAAAGACTACAAATCCACCTTCCACACACATCCCATGTCTACCTGCTTCTACAGACCATTTCTACCTGCAAGTGCCATCAGTGTTTTTGTTTTTATTAGACAGCTTGGACCAATAACGCTTTGCCATAGGTCCAAACCATCCAGAGAGCTCAAGCCTCTGACTCCAGAGGCTGTTGTAGCTCTGGCCTCACTGTGTTAGGTTACACACAGCAGTGGGGAAGCCTGCTGCTGTGTAACCTAAAATAGCTGTCAATAGCCGGCTGAAGCGTAATTAAAAGGCGACGTTCCCGCCATGACAGGGTGCACAAAGGGGAGGCTTCCCCCGCTGTATAATCTGTTAGAAGCCGGTCGGAATGGAGAAAAAGCTGTGAGCTTTAGACTTGAAGCGGACAGCTTTTTCTTCTATAATGGCCTCACCTGCCTTCCCAGACCTCACATCCCTGCTTTAGATTAGCCGGTGACCTCCACAGGATGCGTCTCTCCCTATATCAAAGCACTGACAATTGTTGGCTGGAGCCTGGGAGCTTTACAGGTGTGTATTTTAACCTAGTTAAGAAATACATTTTATAAATTGAATAGACAATAACATCACCGTGGGTTATTGAAACAGTATTTTGGCATCTGTTAGTGGGTAAATGAAAGGAGAGTTAATAAATGCCGTGGAATTTAATCAAAAAGAGAGATTTCTTCCCCGAGAGGAACAGAGCACTGGGAGATACTACTATTTTAGTCCTTTTCATTTGCAGGATACATTTATTAAGCCAATTTACATAATATAGACTTGGAAAAATGATCTGTGCTAATATAAATTACAACAAGAATGGATATAAATATAACCCAAATTAACACTTTCTCAAAAGGGAATTTGTGCAGATGAATAGAAATAGAGCAGTTGTCTAAAGAAACTGCTTTTCTGATCTCTGCTGTGTGAACTATTTTTGGACTGTAGCTGAGCAACCCAAGTTAGCCTTCCATGTTCTGCTATTTCTCTGCACAACTATTTTTGTATTGATTTTTAGTGAGGTAAATATTACATCTGCAAATGTTAACATTTACCACTTGCAGCCAAGAGGTGGTATAATCACGTTATTCTTAAATTACATTTACTGAGGTCAGTATACTACTTTGCAACTGACTCAAACTGGATAAAGGATACAACACCTCTCACCTTCCCAATGTGAGTGTTCAGGCTTTTGATTGAACACTCAGGCTCAAGCGCTGCATTCTGGAAGGACCAGATATTTACCAAGAGCTCCAATGAAGTAACAGCAGAGGAGGAACATACAAAGGCAGTGTTTCGTTTTTAAAGACAATGTGTCATTTTGCATTGTATGGGCAAAGTCATCGATTAAGTCTATTTCTAAAATGTGTTACAAGGAAAAACACCAAATTCAATTTGAAACCGCACCTTTATGCCCTATTCAAATATAGTAATAGGGGGACCTGGATGATACTACACATTGGGGTCAGGAACAGGGTTAAACTTTAAATTTAAAAGAGAAGTATGGGGCAAGTGTTTTTCCCCATAGTCCTCTTTAAGGGTCACGGGAGGACATATACTGTACTAACCTCCTCCCGTGGCCCAAAGCTCATATACATATATACTGAGAGCGCCGCAGCCGGGACAGATCCTGACAATATCCACCCAGCTGTGTGAGAGACAGCTGGCTCTGCCTATCTAGAGGCAGAGCCAGCTGTGCCCTCCCCCGTTTGTTCCTCCACTCAGCTCTTCAGAATCGGAGAGTGGAGGGGGGGGAATCCCTACGGGGAGTGGTGACTGACAGTCACCACTCTCTGCAGGGAGACGATCGGGAAGTGAGCAGATCGGTGCATGTTTCTGCTCACTTCCCGATCGATTGAGCCAACCTGTGACAGCTTCTTTGTCACACGTCGGCTCTAACTATGAGGATGAGTGGAAATCACTCACCTCATAGTTCTCCCTAAACAAATTGAGGAAACCTTTAAGATCTCACCTTTTCTTCTTTGTCAACACAGACCAATTTCATGACGCATTTTGTTTTCCGTCTGGTAACAGCATGGTACATTGGTCAAAAAGAGGTAGTGTAAATCTTGACATTCTCTCTTCCCTTGGCCTTTACTGCTTCCTCTACAATGGAATAATATAAGCAGGTAAAAAAATGTTACATGATAATGTTTGACAGTTTGAAAATTCCATTGACGCACGAAATAATAAACACTGTATGGGATAACTGTGGTGATGCAAAATTCATAACGAATGTGAAGAACTACTGGAACAGTACATTTCCGAGAATCTTACAATTCTTAAATTACCAGGACCTTTGTTAATTACAGTTAGGGTGAAAAAAGACACAAGTTCCTTAAGTTCAACCAGTAATAATCTAGAAAGCATATTAAGGCGTGTGCACAAGACTCTCAAATTCTTCATCTCTCTTTATAGACTGTTGAGAGCGCCAGCATCCCATGACATGACATGTACCTATAGCATACTTTCTCAAGTCAACCTATTTTACTGATAGGTCAGCCCCTTAAGTTCACAAGAGATGAGAAGTCTTTATATTTATGTATTTTTTAATCCACTCTTTTTTTTTTTGTCATCAAGAATCTAACAGGGTTATCCACAAAAGGGTGCAGAGTTTGGAGAAGGCAGGAGAAGTGACCAATCTAGGACAACATAGCTGAACTGGAAAGTGAGCTGAGTTGGAGAATTTTTCCAAATCAGCTATGTTGTCCTAGATTGATCACTTCTCCTGCGTTCTCTAAACTCTTCACCCTTTTGTGAATAACTCTGATTTTTTTTGTGAGTCTGGAGTTCTGCTTTAAGATACTGTGCAGGTATTTTTGTTGAGCCATATACAACTTACCTTTTAGTACAATATATCTGAATCCCTAACACCTAAAAGTGGCCAGCAGATCCAACAACTGTAAGTGTACTGACTGTGGAGTTTTCCATGCACTTCTGTTCCCCCCCTCAATCCTCTAGCCAAGCTCACCTTTCTTATTTGTACAGAATTTTTTTGTTCATCTACCTCCTCTGACTGAAGCAGATTCCAGATATCCTTTGAAAGAACTAGTTGAGAATTACAAAGAACAGCAGTAAACGCTCTTTCAACATCCCAAACATATGCCTGCTTATCTTGAGTCAAAATGTCTCCATAGCAAGGCACTGATTCCCCATCTGAAATCCCCAGAGTGCCCATGAAACCCTCTCCAGAGCTTATTTTGCAGCCTTCCTGACTCAATATCAGTTATTTCAGGAGCTACTGCACTGCTTGGATCGGAGCATTAAGCAGACATTCTACAGCACATTAGTATTGCTTTTGCAATCAGCTACCACTGGTTAACCGTAGGTTAGAAGCCTTTCTAAGATGATGGCTGTGGTACCTTACTCCATTCCTTTGAAAGCTTCCTAACATGTGTATCTCTGTATTTCCCAGATACAGCACCAGGTCTCATCTTTTATGATGTATTCGTTCTATTGTGATACATGCAAGATATAAAAGCACCATGGCACTCAAGATTTGAGAGGAATGCTATATATTTTAGAGAGGCAGCCTAGACTGTCACCCACCAAACCTCCTAGACTAAGGACTGCAGTCCCTCTTGTACCTCCATACATAATTGTTTTCAATAATGGCTATATCTCATGCAACATTTGGGTGACAGACAGTTACACCCTATCATCTCAGACTGTTCTCCATTCCCCAGACTAACAGTCACCTCCAGTGCGCCCCTGAACTGTTGACATGTGCAACCATCTAGAGAGACAGCCAATACTAATAACCAACCACAGACCTGTTAGATTGATAGGCAACACCCACATGCATTAGAAACATGCCATTTCCCTCTCCCTGGACTGATGGCTCATTACACTTTCTCTGGAGATATGGTCCCATCCTGCATTACCCCTGGACTGACAGCAACCCATGCAAATGACATAAAAAATGATCAAGTATATATTTTATTTTTATTAAACACATAGCATGCAAAAACACTTAACAAAATCCTGTACTGAGAAAATACGACGGCTGCCATTGCTGATCTCCACCTGAACGCGGTGATTGCCCAACTGGGTCTGACTTCAATATTTCGAGACAGTCGGGTTCATTTACTAAAGGCTAATAGGTTGTTTACTTTGCAAGGGATTTTTCCCACAGGCTTAGTGAATGAGGTGAAAATTCACTTGCAAAGATTACCCAATCACGTGGAAGGAAAAAAACAGTATGATTCCATCACCTTTGCAAAATGCCACAGCATGACCTAGAAAAAGTATGCAGCCAGTAAAACCAGAGGAAATTCAGTGACTCAGAAAATTCTAAAGACAATCGATCAACACGCCAGGCAGGCAACCAGCATTTTCAAAAGTAGTGGTCAGCAGTGGCACTGTTTCTTCTTGCATGCTTTTTTTCTTATACTTTTTATATAACGGCTACAACCATCTACCACATGATCTATAACAAAACACTGTACTGTAGTTTTCTAAACATGTGCTGCTTTCCCGATGTACACTTCTTACCTTCTGTAATGCCCACAGTCCCTATTGGAGGATGGCTAAAGACCACTGTGGGGATGTTGTTATAGTCAAGCTTGGAATCCTCTTGACCGTCAAACAATCTTTGGGCCAATCTTCTTCCAGCTGCTATGGCAACTAAAAGCGGAACACACAGTTAAATTGGTGATATTTATGCTAAAACAATAATAATTTCCAACAGTATTACAGAGTATGGTGACGCTACATAAAAGTGTTGTAGGACTATGGCATACTGTACATTACAGAATAACAGACTATTTTGTAATAGGAGGCAATATGCTCAAAGCTCAACTGAAGTTACAAAAATAGACTACATTCAGACAAATATTGTACTAACAACTTCCATTGTCCTAACTCCACTTTCCTGTAACAAAAGTTGTACAGGATGTCTAAATATGTCTGTGCAGCTCCCTTGGGGCCATACACTGTTCTATTTTTCTCATTCTACACGCGGGCTGACCGAAAAAATTAGAACAGATTCATCCATTTCGAGGAATTCCCGCTGTTTCTTTTGTTTTCTGACAGCGGTCACCGGCCAGTTTGTATGAAGATTTTTAGACCGGCTCCTTCAAACAGCTGATCAAGGGATGCCGGCCAAAAGGGTGCCGACAGCGGCACCCACTGTGTGAATTTTGGCCAGTTGATCAAGAACCAGCTGAAATTCGTACAGTGTATGACCACCTTTAGTGCGCACAGTAGTCAGCACTCAGACACACCCCTCTCTTTCTCTCCACCTTCTATTATTCAGGCAAGGTTTATGGTGGTGTTGGCGGGCCAACCCAGGGTTAGAATTTTGTCCAATTCTTGTAAATCGGACAAAATTATAACCGTGTATATCTAGCTTCACTACTTAATATCTGTTTGATATTGTTATCCACGGGCTTTGGTCTTTTAATCTACTTTATCATCTTCCTTTCACCTAAACTGCTGTAAAAAAAATGCCTTGATGAGGCAGTGTGGCTTCCACATAGATTTGCAAATATATGCTACTATCATATATGCTACTAACACCTCAATTTTTAGTGCGCCGGAGTTGATTTACTAAAGGAAAATAGGCCATTAACTTTGCAAGGGAATATTCCCTTAGCTTAGTGAATGTGGTGAAAATTGACTTTGAAAAGAATACCCAATCGCATGCAAGGAAAATAAAAAAAATATCTTTGCTTGCACATGATTAGATGGCGGAAGTCAGCAGAGCTTCACCTCATTCACTAAGCTAGAGGAAAATTGAATTGCAAAGTGAACAGCCTACCCGCCCTTAGTAAACCAAATCTATAGCATTTTACGTACGCCCGGCCCAAACTCATGTTACATCAATCACACGTGACTATACACAATTCTAAACCGAGCGAGGATGTGGTGATATCACTCTCAGCCTCACCCTGCACAGAGATTTCCCAGCTTGTGGGACACAATCTCAGGCCAGCAGACTGAGAGCGATCGTCACCAGGGTTGGTTAACTCCGCAATTAACCCTTTACCCCCAAATGTTCGCTGCCACCACCATGTGTTTTCTAACGGAAACACAGACCGTGCCCAGCAACTCCTGTGACAATTTTAAAAACCGGAAACAATGCCTATGATACCGCTGTCCTCTCAGACAGGAATATGACAGGATTCACTATACAGTAGTGCTCTTCACAGTAGTGCTCGCTTTTTAAATGTATGTAGTCACAGACATAATAAGTCCATGACCCTCCCTCCATAACAAATATTTGATGAAGCCATGTCTTACCAGCATTTAAACCTGGCAAATATATATATTGCTACAAAAAAAAATACTGTATATAGCTCTATAATAAAAAGGACTGTGCTGCATTTACCCGGTGTCAATAGTGCTCTTCCACATACATCCCCTACAGCATAAATTCCCTTTCGGCTGGTGTTCTGGAACTCATCCACTACAATGTGACTTTTTTCATCTAACTGAAGACCCTGTAAGATATAACAATCATGCATTACCCAAACTAAGCTACTAGAATTATCAAATACATATCTTAAAGAAAATATTTTCTGAATTAGTTTATGGTCGTTTGAAAAAAAGCACATAAGAGTTAGAATATTTTCACTGAATACATTCATTAAAATATACAAAATAAAATAAACAAGGTTTATTTTTACTAACTGGGCAAGTAGGACATATAAACATTCATTATCTACCAGAATAAGATCTGTGAAATGCCAAAATAGGGTTGCATCCTTTCATACGTTATTGTCCAGAAACAGGTTCTTACCAGATTGTCCAGGTTCAAACCCTCAGTGTTGGGATCTCTCCCAATAGCCCACAGTAAGCTGTCAACATCTTGGATTGTTCTCACTGTTGGCTTGCGTCCTGGTACTGAGCACAGTATGCTGACCTCTAGACCTTTATCAGTCTTTTTAACAGATTTCACCTACAGTAACAACAAATCAACACTTGTTTTTAGGAGAAGAGTAGAAAACATAGAAACTTATACCATTATTTAACACTTCCATGTTTCCAACTATAAGTAGTAATAGTAAAAAAGAATAGGATTACAGAACCTGAAACAGCAACACCTCAACCACAAAGATCACATCTGAACTAACCATCTAAACCCCCAACGCTAGCTGTATATTGACTAAACTGTCACTATAGCACACACTTAAAGGAGAATTATGAGGCGAGTGATTTTCACTCAGCCTCATAATCTGAGCCGACCTGTGACAATGAGGCTGTCACAGGTCGGCTCAGTAGATCGGGAAGTGAGCGAACACATACCGGCGCTCGCTTACTTCTCCATCCTGTCACAGCTCTGTGCTGTGACAGGGGAGGGACTGGATTCCCCCCTCCCCGATCCTCCAGCGCTGACTGGCGGAACGGACGGGGGAGGGGTCTGGTAGAGCTGTCTCTGCCACTGGATAGGCAGAGCCAGCTGTCAATCCCACAGCTGGGTGGATCTCGACAGCAATGTCGGGATCCGTTCCGGCTGCGGCGTCTCAGTATACCACAAGCTGTAGCTCGCGGTATACTAAGCTTTGGGTCACGGGAGAACGTTAGTTTATCTCCTTTAACTATTAATTTCATATTTTAAGTATTAAGTTTCTAATCTCTAACAAATTATTAGACCTTGTATGTAAAATCCAACCATCTAACACCTGCTACCCTTCAACCAGCATTTGAATGCCGTTTTGGGCATTCTCATTTGCTGTAGAGGAAGAGTGAGCAGCAAGGGAGTGCAGGCAAGGTGAGTATAAGGGGTCAGGGGATGCTCCTGGAAGAGACACTGTCACTGTGCCCTGCATGGGCAAGGTGACGGTGTCATTAAAACTGGACAACCTCCAAAACTATAACTGCACATGGCATAGCAGGAACAATGTAATATCACAATTTCTGGTTTATGCTAGAGGAGTCATTTAACAGTTGCATCGCAATAGAAAATTATAGAAGAATTCTAGTGTGTTAAATTACATCTGCATATTTCCAGACATCAACGCCTGCATTTTCAAGCTCTTCTGTGCAATTCGTGCTAATCATGGAATCAAATGTTCGCAGCACCTGCAAAAACATAAAAATTACATCAATACATTGACAGGTTTGGTAATAACTCAATGTGATCAATAATAAAAGCAAGGAGTACTGTATGTAAGCACTTAAAACTACAATGCTCCTTTTAAAGCCCAACTCCAGGATCATGCTCACTTTGTATATACAGATCCCTCTCCCCATGCAAAAGTAAACCTTTACTATATGTTAGAAAATAATTACATAGTTACATAGTATTTGAGGTTGAATAAAGACATTAGTCCATCAAGTCCAACCTATTAGGATCTCGTTCTAGGAGTAACTGTACCCCTGTATATTACGGTCCCTTAAAAAATCATCCAAAAGTTTCTTGAACAATTCCACGTTTTTTGCTGAAATCACCGCCTGTGGCAGTGAGTTCCAGACCCTAACCGCTCTAACTGTGAAGAACCCCTTTCGCCCCTTGTGCTGGAATTTTTTTTCCACCAATTTTAGGTGGTGGCCTCTAGTATATATAATGTCTTACTTTCTCTTTAAATTAAGCTTTTTTAAATCAATGATGTCACAAACTCCTCTTGATGAAATCGCTCTTTCCGCGCACACGTGGGAGGATGTTCTTGGAAACAGCACTACATTTCCCATGAGTTAATGGGAAAAGTAGAAGAGTTATCGGTCTTCATGGCCGGAGCTGAGAGGTTAGAGTTCTGTGTGAGCAGGGCTCAAGAGGGCAGAGCTTGAGCAAGTGGCTGTGACTGGGTGGGACTGAATGCCAATAGCGATCCATTCAATCCCACCAAGCATCAGCGTTTATTGCAGAGGTAGGCAACCTCGACACTCCAGCTGTTGTGGAAATACGTTCCACGAGGCACTGCAAGACTCTATCAGCCATGACTCCCACAGGCAGATGCATTATGGGATTTGTAGTTTCACCACAGCTGTGGTGCCAAGGTTGCCTACCCCTGGTTTAGAGCATGATCATGTGAACTGTATAGCCGAGAGCAGCTGTCACTAAACAGCGGACCGTGGTTGGGACACGGACCATATGGCAGCTTGGTCCAGACCGCGACCACCTACCTGCACTGGATTATGGCTGGCTGACAATAGATACACCTCAGAGGCCGGTGCATCCACTGCCAGCCATAACCCAGCGCAGGCCCCCCCTCCACTTCAGTCATGGGTTGCTAAGACTGCTGGCTTCCTAGCAACCAATGAGGTCAGGCAGGCAGGGCCAGCTTGTCAACTACAAGTGATCTGGTCGTCTGTTCAGCCACCCAGATCACTTGTGCTAAGCTGGTATTTTGCCGCCTAGCCGCTAGGCTGCTATTCAAAAACTAATACAAGAAATTAAAATAAAAACAGTGGTAAGAAAGTAAAAAAATAAAAAAAAGGTGATAAGTAAAAAAATCATATAGTAAAAATAAACTGTGCCTGGGAACACACACTGACAGCTGTGCGTTGTAGTGCAGACCTAAATGGCGGACAATGGTACGAACATGGAGTGACCGTTCTGTCCAGACCTCGATTCGGACCCCTGCTCGATGAAATTTTACTCACTGGACCTCCTTGTATTTTAATTCACTACCCCTGGTCTGGAGGAAACTGAAATAAGACTTTAATCCAAGGGATATAGTGATTTTGTATATCTAAGCGTAGGCATCAGAGAAAAATCGCACCAAAGCAACAAATCAAGCAGGTATTATGCATTATTTTATGGGGAAATGAAGTTAGATTGCTGCAGTGAAGCCTGTACAATAGTCTGTCTATATGGGCACTCACCAAGACAACCTAATTTTAGAGTCGTTTCAACCATTAGAAAAATAATGTTTGAGTACTGTGTACTGGCTTTATTAACCTACTGTAATCAGGTCACTGAAATAATATTTCTAATATATATAATATATTTACATGTAAAGTTCATATGTAAAAAGTTCAATGTAAGATAAACATTGTAATTAAAGGAGGATATCTAAAACTATATTTACATTGGTGCAGTTAAAAGAAGAGGTTCATTCCCTGTCACGTTCACTTTTGACATGGCTTAATGACATATTGCACAGAACACCCATTCCAAATAATTCATTAGGTCATAGACAGGGCTAAGCATTTTCACCTTGTCCTGGCGAATCAGCAGAGCAGCTCTAGATCCCAAAGCTGAAAGAATGCCAGCTATCTCAACAGCAATGTAACCAGCACCCACAATAACACTCCGCCTGGAATAGAAACAAAGATGATGAGTAAAACTTACACCTGTATATGTTACTGACATTTTATTTTGATCACTCCAGTGTTTGTAAATAACTGGGGACACATAGTACTATGTGGCCCCAGTTATAAATGAACAGGATGTGATTTACATCACTTCCTGTTCATTCATGAATTTCTCAATGGGGAGAAGCACTCACTACAGAGGCTCCTCCCCATTCAGAAACAGCTTGATAGTAAAATATTTTCTTAATGAATGGGAAGCCTCTGTGCTTTCCATTCATTTAGAATAGAGGCTGCAGAAAAAGGGATTGTGGACTTTGTGTCCTCAATTTCTTTTTCTATTTTAAAAGGGAAATATCAAGGGGCTTTTTAGACCCCTAATATTTCCCCGAAGCCCCCCCCAACAGTAAAAAAAAAAAAATTAAAATAAAATAATAAAAATAAAAAATAGTAAAAAAAAATCCTGGAGGCCGGGCGCTGGGTGACATCACACGCCTGTTGGGGGGAGGGCGTTTTTTTTCTTTCCTCGGGCGCAAAAGGAGCTGGCTACGGCTATGCTCCCACGGTGCTCGTGCCGCTGAATGTGTTAGATGCCGCAGATGGAAAGGGGCAGGACACCTCTCCCCATGTGCAACGTCGGCCACACGAGCACCACGGGAGGAGAAGACGCCGAGGCCTCTAGGACGCACTGGAATGTAAGCCGGCCGACTCCCTGCGTTCAGGGGCGGGAGGGGTTGTATTGAAGTCAATAGCACCGCAGCTATGCCCCCCGCCCACAGTGTGATCACCCGCACCCGGAACGCAGGCACATTAGTGCCAGCATTCCGGTCCAGTGCGATCTGCAAAAATAGTGCTCACAGCATTTTTGCGGATCGCACTGGACTGGAACGCAGGCACTAATGTGCCTGGGTTCCGGGTGCAGGCGATCGCACTGTGGGTGAGGGGCCTGCCTGTGGTGCCATTGACTTCAATGCACCGCCACACCCCCTCCCGCCCCTGAATGCAGGTGTTTTTTCGTTGGTAGATCTCATTGAGCTTGTCATTTGAAAAGTAGATCTCCAGACAAAAAATTGTGGGTCTAAAAGTATAGAATTTGCCAGGCAAAGTGGCAGTTAAAGTTCACACTGCTCCTAAGGACTTATTCACACACAACACAAGAGCAAAATTGTATATTGCGTATATGCGTGTATGTATACGCATATACGCACGTATATGCATGCACTATACGCAATCCCAGAATGCATCACTCGTAATAGAAATTTGAATGTGCTGTACGCATGTGCGGGCGTATGTACGCGCAAGCATGCGCATGCATGTAAAATACGCAGAAATACGCTGCCCGGACGCATCTCGGATCCATTCTGTTTTTGCGCATGTATACGCTATGCAAATATACAGCTCCATACGCAGCTATGGGTATGGAGCCATTTATTTGCACATGTTGCATATGGGACAATATGCGCGTATAGGCATATACGCGCTTATATGTGCGGCAGTGTGAATGAGGCCTAACACCCAAGACCATAACTGTGATTATAAACAACAACATAAATATTTTGCCCAAATTCTAAATGAAAATACTTACTTAGGCAATTCTTCAAGTTCAAAAAAGCCATCACTCGTAATACCTAAACTTGCTCCTTCAAAATAAATTTTAAAAAGTGTCACCAAACAGTTCAATGATGTAATTTAAAAAAATAAATGAAATACATAATAGGGTTTTTTTGTTTTGTTTAGGACAGAATAGAGACCAGTTAGATTTTTATTGCTGTCTTTGCACCCAGCAGGGAGATTTTCCCTCATTTTCTGTCCAGATACAACTTTTTTTTTCCACCAGGGCAGATAGTGAGGGAAGATCCCCAACGGAGGCATAAACAGCAGGGGGTTCTCACCTCTATCACTCCAATGATAAAAAGTTTTTTTACTTTCTTTAGAAGTGGAGGGACACCTCTAAAGAGGTCACAGCAAAACTAGAGCAAGTCCATTTAGCATACTTCTGCAATAACAAATTTTGTTATTTCGTGTGTGATTTGTGTGATTTCGATATTTTGGATTTTACAGGACAAGATCAAATAAGCAGGTCAACTTTGATAGCAATGCTAAATGAAGTGTGATCACAATAAAAGAATATTTATGGAGCATGACTCAATTTTAACTGACTCCCACTGCCCTGATCATTGAATATGGTGTACATACCTGGTACCTCTTCATCTGTTGGCATTGAAGGTTTGCCTCCTGTGGCAATGAGGATGTGAGGAGCTGTGTACTTGCGACCATTCACTTCTACCGTTGGCTCTGGGTCAGATGTAAATGTTGCATAACCTCGGATTATCTCTATTTGAGCCTGTGCCACAGACAGGAAACAATGTGTTAACTTTCAGCCTATACCTTAAGTCCCTATGCATGGTTTTCCTCAAGGACTATACAACAAAGGCAAAACCACCAACTACTGTTCCAAAATCTCTGTTGAGGTATTTTAGGTATATGGCTTAGAGAAAGGCTGGACAAATCCCAGGAAAAAAGGTCACCAAAGCTCCCAAAACATTACAGTAGTTGTCAATGGCGCTATCTCCAATAAAATCCTGCTGGCTCCTGAACTCCATATTCATTTGATCACCCCTGGCTTAAAGACACCACACGAGAAGAACAGGCAATTTTACCACATTGTGTGTACTTCACGTGCTGCCTGGCAAAGATCAATATATTGCACCCATTATGTCTGTACCACACAGGAAACTTTAGATGAGTGCGGCCATGAGGATCCCACAGCAACTCCCCTTAACTCCCAGCTTCACAGTAGCCACGAGATACATTATTGCAATAGTTCGGTCACAAATACTCACCACAGCCCAATTTCAACCAAAACTGAAAGAGTTGGCATGAGTCTAGACACAACTGTTTAAGCCAGGGGTCTCAAACCTCCGGCCCTCCAGCTGTGGTGGAACTACAAATCCCATGAGGCATTGCACGATTCTCACAGCCACAGACATGACTCCCAGAGAGAGATGCATCATGGGATTTGTAGTTTCACCACAGCTGGAGGGCCGGAGGTTTGAGACCCCTGGTTTAAGCCGTCTGTGAGCCTGTTTGGTATATTTCTCCTCACTTCCTGTCTATTTGATGGGCCTCAGACAGAAGAGGAAGTAGGGGTAATTTCCCCAACAGGGACACAGACTGCAATAAAACCATTTTTTCCAGTAGAGTGCTTAATATTTATAAAACCTGTGTCAAGGTTGAGATTTCCCCTCACTTCCTGTCCAAGTGACTAAGAGAACAGGAAGTGAGAGGAATATACTTCAAAATGAACACAGACCCTTTATCACTGTATCCAAAAGTGAACTAAAATTTTTCTCCAGCATTGGCCTTTAATTCATCGTTGCAGTTTAAAACTGGAATTTTAGAATCTGGAGTTGGAACGTATAGTCTAAAACCTTGGTTCTGAACTGGTGGATCGTGGCCCAAACATGGATCGTGACCCAAAAGTGGGTCGCGACCCCATTTTCAGTGGGTCACCACATGCCTTCCACTTTTCTAGGTGAGAGACTCCTCAGCTTCACCCTAGCACAGCAGTGTCAGTTCTCGCGCCAAGCAGCCATTCAAAATATGCTGTTCGCTTGAGGTGGGGTAGGCTGGAAGTATGGTCAAAAGGGAGCTCCATCCATATGTGCATTGCTTACAGCTCCCCCACGTGCCCCGTAGAGGTGCCTGGACTGGCACATTCTGGCTCCCAACACCTCTACAGGGTGCGCAAGAGAGCTGTACAAACAATGCACATGTCCTGTAGAGGTGCCATGGTGACATCACATTCTGCCTCCTGCCACCTCTACAGGGCACGTAAGAGAGCTGCATCCAAAATGCACATATGGATGGAGCTCCGTCACAGCACAGCAGCCCACACTGGACCCTAGGCTGAGGATCCACTCTAGTTCTCATATGGTAGGGAGACTGGGTGGATCTTCAAAAAAAAAAAAATATATATATATATATTTTATTTTTTTGGAGTGTGTATGTGAGAATGTCTGTGAGTGTGTGAGATTGTGTCTGTGGTTGTGTGTGTCTGTCAGTGTTTTTGAGGGACTGTTCCCTAGTAGAGTGCGTTAATCGCACAGTCCCATGTGATTAATGCACTGTACCACGCAATCGCACCTACTGCGCATTCTTGTGTGGAAGGTGCGTTGCCATTAATTTGAATGGCACCCAAAACGCACCTCCCGCCCACAATTCGATCCCCTGCACCCAAGCGCTCGGTACCGCAATGCCGTGCATTCCATTCCAGTGCGACTTGGATCGCGACTTAATGACCAAGGACAATGTGGGTCCTGAGGTTACACAGGATGAGAACCACTGCTCTAAAAGTACCACAGTTCAAAAGGAAATAATACTGCCGGAATTTGAACAGTTAGGCTCTTAAAGAAAATATACCTTGTTAAGATTATTTTGGTAGATGTCATTGAGGCGGCTTACATAGGCATCTCGTTTGTCTTTAATAACCCTAAAAAGGGAGAACATTTTTAAAAATGTGTAAAAATATTTCTGATCTACAAAAAAAAAAAAAATACTAAAAAACAATGTGGGTATTGTTTTGCTTTTTTCTTTCTTTGAATTGCTTACATAAATAAATCACTTTGCTGAATCCATTCGGAATTATGGATTAAGTACAGATCACTGTCACAGTAAACAAATACTAACCAATTGTTAATGTTAAACGAAAACAACAACAAAAAAATATATATATATTATATCACATGGTACAGAGCTGCATGGGAACAGGTGGGGTGAAAACTGAAGCTGCACATAAACAGTTGGGAACTATGGACCAGAGATCTCACCACTGAAGTACCCAAGACAAATAAGACCCCAGTAAGTGATTTAGCCCACCAATAATTGAAATATGAATTTACAGTTAACTAAGCAATCATAGAGTAAACCCAATCTGGCCAAAGGTAACTGCAGTGTTGAACCATGAAGCGTCTACAAGTACGCAAATTCGTTTTTAAAACTGATTCATGTGGATGGCCCTCTTGCACTAAGCCCCAGCAACTGTTATTAAACATTCAATTTCTTCTTTATTGCCAGTGAGTCTTTAGTGCCAGTGAGGTCCTGGTATTTGGCATCAGAAAGAAACTTGGCCACAGGGTACTGTCACTTCAAGACAGTTGCAACCTTATGCACTTTTCAAACCATTTTAAGTAGTAGTAGCAAAAATGTGGCCATTCCTGAACAGGTAAATTCGGGGGAGCAGAGCTGATTCTCAGAGTGGAGTGTAGTGTGCAGGTGGCTGACTTGCATTGTACAGGTGGCAGGTGGGTAGGGCAGTACTGAGAGAGTGGGGTAAGAAGGCAGGGGAAAAATCTACTGTGAGTAGGTGAGAGGGATGTACTATATGAGCAAAGAGGAGAAGTTATAAAGGAGGAAAGTACTGAGAACATGGGGTTAAATTGCCAGGGATGGAAACGCTGTGAATGGGGGATTAGGTGGGTGGAAGGGATGCACTGTGAGTGGGGGGTGGTGTGGCTGTTGGGTGGGATGTTCTGTGACCAAGGGATGAAGTGGCCAAAGAAGGATGCTTTATGACCAACCCGTGTCGATATTACCACTCACACTTCTCTCAACAACAAAGTTAGCTGCTCTGGTCACACACAGTAAGTCACAATGATGTGCTGTCACCACTCACACTCTTCCCACAAGTCTACTGTCTGTTTTTCCCCACCATCATGAGCCCAGTCTCCTCTCCTGTCCATCTCTACCTTTCACTTCCTCTGCTGTTTTAAAACCTTTCAATATCACACTCTACAACACAAATTAGCTGCTTTGGTCACCTCAGTGCAGACAGCAAGTCACAAGGATGTGCTGTCACCATTCACACTCTTCTTACTAGCCTAATAGCTGTTTTTCTCCACCAGCCAGCCATAAATAGTCAAATCTTCCCTCCTGTCCATCTCTACCTTTTGCTTCCCCTGCTCTTTCAAAACCTACCACCTGTCTCCCTGCTGGGCATGGCTTGAATGACACTATAGGGATGTGTGCATGGGGAAGCTGATCTTCCAGAGGTTGTTGAGATGACCAGAAGGAGGGCAGGGGGTGCAGTGTTGAGGTCGGCAGCAAGATGGGGGTGGTATGTAGGTTGCAAATTACTGTATCTGGTGGAATCTGACCTGAAACACAGGAAGTGTTTCCAGTTAGTTGCTGTTTCCAACCACATTCCTGCAGATTAATTTTAATACTACTGAAATCTTTAATGTCCAGTGATCCTTTCACTTTACATGGGAGAGGACAAAAAACGGCCAACCAGCAATGTCACATTTCTGTACAATGTTTTTGTGAAACCCTCAAGTGTTTTTCACTTCAGACATTGCAGCAAGTGATGGACTTGTGTCTTTTTTCAAGCTAACTATGATGAAAACAAACAATTTAGAAGTTACACAACACAGTTCATTTAAACATTTCAAACACATCTCTAAGTTAAACATGTAAAGAGAAGAGATGTGTTATTTATAATAGCAATAACAGAAAAAATATTAGCAGGTAAACATAACTAATTATACAGTGAAAGCAGATGAGAAGCACTTTTATACATCATACCCTGTATTGCCGATAGGGTCTACTTACTTCCAGGTAAATTTCACATCTGAAACTTGAAATCCATAGTCTTCATGATCATGTATGTACTCGGAGTGAAAGGCAGCATTCCACATTATCTGTTGGTTAGGCACAATATACTTAGTATAACTTAGTAAACAAATCACCCAGACTGTAACAATAAGAATAATTATAAAAATATTAAAATTCATATTGATGGACAAGAAGGAGGAGTAGGGTTGCCCCTTGTCCAGGATTCACCCAGACAGTCTGGGTTTTGAGTCTTGTATGTGCTGTGTCCGGGATTCACGGCAGCTGAAACGCGGACACAAGATGTCACAATGTCAGGCGGACCGGGGCAACACAGGGTCCTGTTCCAACTTGAGTGCATGGAGGAGGCACAGGACATGGAGGGAAGTTGGAACTCGAGGAGGTGTCTGAAACACAGGGTGCAAATCTTGAAGGGCACAGAGGTTCTGCTTCAGGCTGGTTGTCTCTCCTCACTCTCCCCTGGCTGTCTTTCCTCTCTTTCTCTCTCCTGGATGTCTCTCCTCGCTCTCTCTCCTGGATGTCTCTCCTCGCTCTCACTCCTGGATGTCTCTCCTCGCTCTCTCTCCTGGATGTCTCTCCTCGCTCTCTCTCCTGGATGTCTCTCCTCGCTCTCTCTCTCCTGGATATCTCTCCTCCCTCTCTCTCTCCTGGATATCTCTCCTCCCTCTCTCTCCTGGATATCTCTTCTCGCTCTCTCTCTCCTGGATATCTCTCCCGCTGTCTCTCTCTCTCCTGGATATCTCTCCTCGCTCTCTCTCTCCTGGATATCTCTCCTTGCTCTCTCTCATGCATATCTCTCCTCGCGCTCTCTCTCTCTCCTGGATATCTCTCCTCGCGCTCTCTCTCTCTCTCCTGGATGTCTCTCCTCGCTCTCTCTCTCTCCTGGATGTCTCTCCTTGCTCTCTCTCCTAGATGTCTCTCCTCGCTCTCTCTCTCCTGGATGTCTCTCCTCGCTCCCTCTCTCCTGGCTGTCTCTCCTCGCTCTCTCTCCTGGATGTCTCTCCTCGCTCTCTCTCTCTCCTGGATACGGCGCTAGAGTGATTGGGTTTCGCTTGAAGAAAAGGTGGCAACCCTAAGAAGGAGAAGAAGTAGAAGGAGGAGGAGAAGGAGAATGTGGGGGTACACTAAGAAGAAGCCACTATATTAGAAAAGAGTTTCCAACTATGCAGCGCCAACTAAAGAATAAGCTAACTAAATGGACGTGCTTAACTTTGACTTAACAATAAACTGTGATCAGTGACATAACATAAATCAATCAACAATCAATGTGTGTAGATCAGTGTATCCAGAATAGTTATACCAAATATACATTCATGTATAACATAAATATTTGTGAAAATCAAATGAACAAATGAACTAGGGCCTAACTACCTGGGGGCGGGCCTAACTACACCTCATACCAAACACAGGATTTTGTTACTTTATTGCTTTGCCGTCCGGAAAATCTTTTTTCGTTATTCTGTTTATTCGATTCAAAATAAAGCCCCTTTGGAAATTGTTACACAATGAAAGGCTTGTTCTTTATATGACCGTGGAGACACACCACTCACTGGCTACTGATCGTTGAGAGACACGGTGAGGGCGCTACGGCTCCGTGAGCTTCTGGCTGCTTATCACAGCCACTACATCACGGTGAGTGCACATTTTGAGGGGATACGTACGGCATTTGCCCACATGCCCAACAAGTTTCACGGGACTCACAAACTTTGGACCAGGAACACTTTATCGTTTTTCACGATGTTTCCACACCAACACTAATTATTCCAGGGACCCTGTTGGACTTTATGTCCAGGGTAATTGTGTTGTATATGAAAAAAAAACACATAACACAGTCACTCAAGTTTTATAATTTTGTTCATTTTATTTTCACAAATATTTATGTTATACATGAATGTATATTTGGTATAACTATTCAGGATACACTGATCTACACACATTGATTGTTGATTGATTTATGTTACCCTGTTTCCCTGAAAATAAGACCTACCCCGAAAATAAGACCTGGTTGTGACCATTCCCAAGGCCGGTGGTGGCATAAGGGGGAACTTGAAGAGCCAGCGGTGCCAACTAAGCCAGCGCTAGAGGTAGCGAGGCGGCAGCGGAGGGAGCAGAGCTGCATAAGCCGATGCGCTTCCTCTATAGTGCCGTAGAAAAATGTCACCAGCACACCATGAGTTGAAAAAGCAAAATATTTTATTGCCAATAGCTGTATCCTCTATAGTGCCGGCTCCTGTCACAGATGGAGTGATACCAAATGCACTCCGCCTGTGACGAATCGATCGTGAATGCGCACTTTGCTTTTTCTGGCCAGCGTTTGGTTACCAAATTGCTCTTGGAAAGGACTTGATCACCCTATTCTTAACTTTGCCACTCACTCCTGTCTTGTAAGTCTTCTACCGGTAATAAGTGTGGATTGTTGTACATTAAATAAAAATAAGACCTACCCCGACAATAAGACCTAGTGTGTTTTTTTGAGCCCAAAAAAATATAAGACAGTGTCTTACCCAGATAGCAAGAAATTGTGCTGCAAGTTTGAAAATGACTTGCTAAACTATTGCAGACTTGCCAAGCTTCACAATTTTGTTGCACAATTACAGCAAGTCTGCATTGCAAGTCTCCAGAGCAGCGAGCTTGCAGAGCTCTTGCTAAGACCTGCAGGACTCTTGCTGTAGACTTGCCAAGCAAATTTGCTACAAATTCAAAAAGTGTCAACTAGAACTTGTGCTGCGAGTGTTCTGCAAGTCTACAACTTGCCAGGAATATGTGCAGCAAGTTAACAAAATTACAATTTAACCCTGCCACAACTTTGTGGCAAGTTATCCTTGCTATCTGGGTATTTTCGGGGAAACACGGTATGTCACTGATCACAGTTTATTGTTAAGTCAAAGTTAAACACATCCATTTAGTTAGTTTATTCTTTAGTTGGCACTGCATAGTTGGAAACTCTTATGATTTGACCCAGGTGTCTTTATTGCCACAGCCTTCAATCAATATAGATTTTTCACTAGAGCACAATTATTAGGGCACAAAACACTTGCTTTATTTATCCAGCGCAGGATTAATAAACACATTAATCAATAGAAACTACCAAACTGCAGTGTTTCCCTATTACATCAGTTTGCTCTTTCACAACTAAAGCTACTGGAAGTTGCTGAAATAATCTTGTAGTCTCTTGGTGTTATTTGCTCAAGCTCAGCCCTAGGAAGGAATGCTACAACCAGTCTGTAGGTGCCATTTATATTGTACACCCTCATGCTAATAGAAATTCATTCTAACTCTGGTAATAGAAATCACCACCCTGCTATAGAAATGGTCCAGTAAAATAAATAGAGGATGGTCTGACTGCTTAAAAGGAAACCTGTACTGAGAGAACATGTAGACTGGTTGTCATGCTGATGCAGTTGCTTCAATACTTTCGGAGTTGCTAATGTAGATCAGGAGTTCTGACTTCACTCCCGCTTTCTGTTGTACCCCTTTCAGGTATGTATTGCCACTCGAGTAGTATTGCAATGGCCATCAGCATATTTCTTTTAGTATTTCTATTGATCTATTTAGTATTTCTTTTGATCTCTCGAACTTTGATTTCATACATATGTTGCTTTATTGGTTTCCTATGCAATACCAGGTACAATTCCCTGTTTGCTTCAGAACAGCCTAAATTCCTAATGACATTAATTAAGCAAGGTGCTGGAAATTTTCCTTAGAGATTTTGAATTATGCTGACTTGATAGCATAATGTAGATCCTGCTATTTACATTAACAAGCTTGTGTTTCTAATATAGTGATATGTAGTAGTAATGCAGGGGTGTGGTCATTTAAAATAAAAAATTGTTTTTTATCCAAGGACTAAAATGGGGGCTTACTCTACTTGTCCGTCATGACAATCTACTTGTCCTGATACAAAAAAAGAATTTTAACCAAAACCGTACTTAGCTGTGCTAAGAAGCGTTTCTCAATAGTCAGCGCTGTTAGGTGACCACGCTGACCAACGAGTGCTCGCAATTTGTGAGTGAAATTCAAGATCCATAGCACAGGGCTACGCTGGAATGCAGCAGGGGGTACAGATAGTACACCCGTACTGGCGGAAGAGAGGGGCCGCTCTTCCAAAGGTAAGTATAGCAGGGGTGAACGGGCGTTATTCGCTCTACTCCTCGCACTCCATCCTGAAGTAATATGCCGTGGTCCCAGGTTCCCCAGAAGAGCGGACAAGCAGGCTGCAGACAAGTGATCTGGCCGGCTGCACAGCCGCCCAGATCACTTGTACAAAAAGTATTCCCTGCTGCACATTTAGCCCTGCTGCCTGCCCCGCGGTGGTGGCATAAGGGCCGGTGGTGGCATAAGGGGAACTTGAAGAGCCGCGGGAGAGGCAGGAGAGAATCAGCGGTGCCAACGAAGCCAGCGCTAGAGAAAGGGAGGCGGCAGCGGAGGGAGCAGAGCCGCATAAGCCAATGCCTCCTCTACAGCCCCGGCTCCTGTCACAGGCGGAGTGATAGCAAATCAACAAACAAGAAAAATGCAAAAAAGAAGCGCCAGAGGTTATCATGTATAGTCTTTTCGACAGAGTGGATGTATTGGCATCTATGCAGGAGGCAGCTCCAAAAACAGTCGGGGAGACTGGAGACACTACAAGACAAAAACAAGAGGGGCGCCTTCTCGTAGTGCAGATCAATTTTATTTTTCAGTTAACAATAAGATTAAGTCTATAAATGAATACTTACAAGAGTGGAAGATCACAAGCATTAAGAACAATGTAGAGACGAAAGCCAAACTGGTAGCAGTGGCAGTCTATCAGATGTGTCCCATGTGCAGATCAGTGTACCAACGTGTCGACGCGTTTCCGGGGCACGCCCCCTTCGTCAGGACATCGACGTCCTGACGAAGGGGGCGTGCTCTGTGATCTTCTACTCTTGTGAGTATTCATTTATCTACTTAATCTTATTGTTAACTGAAAAATAAAATTGATCTGCACTAGGAGAAGGCACCCCTCTTGTTTTTGTCTTGGAGTGATAGCAAATGCCTGTGAGGAATCGATAATGAAAGCGTGCTTCGCTCATTCTGGCCAGCGATTGGTTAGCAAATTGCTGTTGGAAAGGTACGGCACCCCTGAGTGTCCTGATCACCATATCTGTGTACATGAATACATTTAGACTGTTGTACATGAATAAGTGTGGATTGTTGCACATAAAAAAAATTAAAAAAAATAAGACCTACCCCGAAAATAAGAACTAGTGTGTTTTTTCTGAGCCAAAAAATATAAGACAGTGTCTTATTTTCGGGGAAACACGGTATAAGGGGTTCAAGCTATCCTCCTGGCCTGAACTTATAAGGGGCCCATTTATCGTGGTTGCCTGAACTTCATGAGACAGCAATGGCCCTATGTGTGTGAAGGAAAACATAAGTAGGTAAAAATATATGAGTTTACCTTTTTCGGAACACAGCCGACATTGACCTAAAATACAATAAAAGGCAAAATTGAAAGTTAATGTTTAAAACAAGACCACGTTATAAACCAATTAAAGAGACTCTTCAGTTTGTTATAACCTGGTATTTGTGGGAGCAACTGATTTAAACCATGAGGTTTTGGTTAGAGTGGAGAATGGTACGTTTTTCACAATGAGCTGCCAGGACAGGAAACGAAATCTATAAGAGAACACTGACTACCTTTTTTTTGTTAGGTAAAGAAAACTAAAACCCCCATCAGCTTGTAACTGCAGTCTCTGACAACGTTGTCACCGAGACAGAAACTGAGGGAAAATCTTATTATCATAGCTGCTGTGACAGGACACAACCTTCAGCCAACCACATGTAGAGTGGGATTCATTCACCGTGGATGAGCTCAGTGGCTGCAACTGGGGACACAGTGCATTGCGTGGTGAGCAAAAGCAGGATGACGCACGCTCCTCTCCTGCTAGGGGACGCTTATCCTAATGGCCTGTCCAGGCTAAAAAGAAGACAGGATGGGCCTTTGGAGGCTACAAGGATTTTCTGGGGAATGTTTAATCTCTTGTGAGAATGGGCACAAGGTATATAAACAGCATTAATGCATATTTTTAAAATCGGCTTCGTTCACAGTTATGGGGTCGTGTTTAGAGCCAGTATAGATGATTCTTCTATCAATCTCAACTAACCCTTTAAAGGTAAATTACACTTTTTTTTTAAAAAATTAAAAAAGCGCACTTCTTCATAAAAGAAAAAATGTGCATTTAGAATTATTTTGCATTGGAGCCTGTAAAGCATTGCAACTGTGATCAGTGGATTGTGGGTGTGATGCTCTGACCCCTGCAGGCTATTTCTCCAGTCCCTGTCCGTATTGAGCTATGGACTTTCAGTAACATGGAGAGAAGGAGGTGTCAATAGACTACAAGTGCAGTGACGTCACCACACTTTAAGAACTACAAGTGCCTCTGCCGCCTCACACAGGGTCCCTTCTTCTATTGCTCTCACTGCGACGTTCACTATGTTGCCCAGAAGAAGGGACCCTGTGTGGCCCCGAAACGTTGGCTGTATGACGCATGTGACGACTGAATAAAAAGTGCTTTACTTCTTTCACACATCATCGAGTGCTGGTGACTTCTAATATGGACTGTATCTGACAAGGTTCCATCCGTGTTGTCACTTCAAGCACCAACCTTTCAACAAGGTCTGTACGCTGCATGGAGTGCAGGTGATTTCGTATTATTGGTAGCTTCTTCATTCACAGATCATGTTGACGGATTTGTGAATGGATGATGCGGCTGTGTGAGTGGAAGCACACACAGTCACGCAGAATTCAACATACATCAGCAGCCTGCAGGGAGAAGAGCCCCACGGTTCAGGTAGGTGGGGGGGCTGGAGGGGTTGTGATGTGACCATGTTTCATATGAGTGTCACATGGTCAGAAAGGTAAACTTAGCTTTATTCACACCAGTGCTTTGCTACAACACCCAGCTGCTGGTGTGCGCTAGCAGTCCCAGTGCCGATGCTGCAACATGAACGACATTTCATTAAGTTCTATGGGTGTGATGCGGTTGGTTGTATTGCTTCTTGGCCTGCTGCAATGAAAAAAAAGTACACGCAGTACCTTCCAGTGCAGCGGGACACAACATGGTACAAACACATCGCACCGCATGGTGCCCATAGAACCTAATGAAATGTCACTCTTGACATTTTAATAAAGTTCTAACAAAAAAAAAGTAAACAGTGCACTGCACCAGGATTGGCTCATTGGTGGTGTGAATGGAGTCCATCCGTGACAAAGCAAATTGCCTCATGTTGCATTGGGGCTGTGCTGGAAAAAACAGCTCCAGCTCATTTGGCGTAAATACAGCCTGAGTTACTAGCATGTATGGCAGGTGCTGGCAAACTCCAGCCCTCCAGCTGTGGCGAAACTGCACATCCTATCATGCATCTGTCTTTGGGACTCATACCTATGGTTGTGAGAATCTTGCAATGCCTCATGGGATTTGTAGTTCCACAACAGCTGGAGGGCTGGAGTTTGCTCACTCCTAGTATATAAGGGAAATCCCCTTACTTGCTCTGGTGTCCCTGGGACAGGAAAGGCAGGGAATTTGCCTATGTATAAACTTTCAAGGCTTTTAGTAACTAAATTAAAGAAAGTATGCAAATTCAGAAAGTCATTATGACTTCTGTATGGCAAGTATGAGAGCTTGTCATCCTCTGTATACACAATATAGAATTCATAATACAGCATGGCACTGTTATGTCATTATATCATCAGTGTATGGCAGTCCCCGTCTCTATATACTCACACAGGTGCCCCCAAGCTTGTTGCTCTCCACCACGGCCGCCCTGGCCCCTAGCTCCGCCGCTCTCCGGGCACTGGCCAGCCCCCCCGAGCCTCCTCCGATCACCAGGTAATCAAACGAGCAGTGTGGCCGACCCTTCGGGTGACTCCCGCACACCATCCCCGAGTCTTGCACATCGCCCCCGGGAGCGGACACGGCTTGTGACATGGTGACAGTCCTGCAAATTAACCTCTGACCTCCCGGCGGTGATCGATGACAGGCCGTGCGTGCGATCCCGGAGTAAATCCAGCTGCTGCCGTAGCGATCGGTACGGTGGAGCAGTGATCGCGGTGACAGGAGCTGTGTAAAGTTGGGCAGAGGGAAGGATCGGGGTGCCCGGTTAGTATAGAGAGGGATGCTGTGACATTTGCTGGTGATGGGGGTGCCGGGTCCTCGCCGGATCAGGTGGCTGATGTGAGCGGGCAGAGTGTGTGCGCTCCCCCGGGATGAGAGGTGTAGCGGGACTGCTGCACAGAGGCCTCGGCTCCGGACTATGAATGCCATAACGCGGAAGTCCATGTGCTGGGTGACAGCGGTGGGAGGGGAGGGCAGCCTTTGCTTAGTCACAGTGAATGGCTGTTAGAACTTGTGAGGAACCGTTCACAAGGTTCATGCAAGGTAACCGTGACTTCCCTCACCCGGGACACAAAGCAGAGTCATTGCTGCTGGCGTTATTCCAGAAGGAGGGAGGCTGAGATACATACCGACTAGTGGTGGGCTGAACAGGCCCGAGTTTGGTTCGAATTCAAACTTTAGAACATCCAAAAAGTTCGAACTCAATGCAAGTCTATGGGGGTAGAACTTTCAAAAACAATTGTCCCCTTTAAGAGGGCTTATATGCACGTTATTGGCCATAAAAAGTGTATGGGGATCCGGGTAATGCCCTGAAGGACATGAATCAATGCAAAAGAAAAACTTTTCAAAAATACTGTTTTTAACCGCATCCCAGCTAGCCGTTGTAGCAAAAACGGCCGGACAGGAGCTTCCTAGATCTGAGCGGGCGTTTTTAAACGTCTGCTCAGCCACGCCCGCGGCACGCAATGAGATCCCCAGGTATATAGGTGACTCACCAATCACAGGAAATACGAGACCTAGTCCAAAATTCTGGTTGAGTGTAACTTCTCTTTACTTATGTTAGGAGACAGCGAAACATACTATCATTTACAGTATTATGTATCATTACAGCGTCATAGCCAGTCTACTTCCAGAATTATGCCCACCTGAGGGAGTGCTATCAACAGATTCTCCAGCTGTACTGGCTACTGTAGTGGCATCCCCCTCCCCAAGAGAACTACAATAAAACTGGAACACTACATTCTACCAGCTGTGGGCCTATATATCCCCCAAGCTCTGTTCTTCTCTAGCTTACTTTTTTCTACACCCAGAAGATCCAGAGAAGACTCCTCCGCTGCTATATACTGTATACCCTCTAGCTAGGCAGAAAGGAATCCTTGGAGGGAAACTAATGGTACTACACCTAAAATACAGCAGGGCCTTAAATACGTGTTTTTTTTTAGGTTTGGCCAATGAGGATTTATTTCCTGCAGTGACATCTTTGTCGTGGACTTGGGAAGCATCCATTTTGTGGATTTCTGTGTCTTGTGTTGAGGAACCTGATTGTAATGTCAGCAGTTGAGCCTCTTTTTGCAACTGTGGCAGTCTTTATTCAGCATGAAGCACAGAAGCAACATAAGAGGCAAGATTCTGGATTCATCCACTGATTGCAAATAGACAGCCGCACCTTAGTGACCAGACCATTACCCACAGATCTGGGGTGGTCAATGTGATATAGACAGAGACCTTGCAAGCAGCAGATGAGAATCTGCCTCATTTTTCCTCTCTGTGGCACAGGCAGGCTAACTAAGAAGCGTGTAGATAAAAGAGAGAATCTCCCCATGTTTCTCAAGCATCTAAAAGGGGTGGGGAGCTTGTGGGGATTCATGTGGTCTCATCCCACTCTGTGATGAGACTCCTTTTATCTAAGGAGAGGAATCAGCAAGAGCACAAAAATGGCATCCATCCCATTCCAAGGCGCCAGCAACTGCAATCACACCACCAGCCTCACACTGCACAAGTTCCGGGAGGTATAAAGGTGTAACTCCACATATGTTTGCTAAGCGCTAGACAAACTCCACTATCTGATTAATCAACATGATAAGTAGATAAAACAAACTTGTTGCAATTTCTTACCCACCCCTCATAGAAAAATCAGTTGTTTGTTTTACCACGTCTATACCCGACTGCTTCCTGAATGGGGGAGTTTGTCTTCATTAAAACGGTTTGTGTACATTTTTGTGCACGAAAAAAACAAATCACAACTCCGCAAATTTCCGAGACAAAACAGTGGCAGCCAATGCAATTGGCTTGAAAGTAGCAAATAATGTAAAGGTTCGTCTAGGCAGGGCAAAATACAAAACATGCTTTCTGTGCATTGTAATCATACAGTATTGACTGATTTGTTGCAGTGACGCACGGGGGGGGGGGGGCTCAGCTGACATTGTGATGTGCGGGGTTCATGGTTCGGGGCAGGGACTGTGCCTTTAAGGGAGGTTGGGCTTCCTCCTGACAAACCTGCACCCAATTTGATCTTTTGCCACATGTGCTCCAAGATGGAGACTCTCATAGTTTAGAGTTAGGACCGCACTATATAGAGTTGGTGAGGCGGTGCGGATTTCACATATTCTGCAGAAGACGTGTATCTAAACCTTTGTTTTTAACCTTAGCGGTGAGACAAGTTTTTTTGCATGCTGGCTGGTGAGTGTGCTGGGAAACTTTTTGCTGTTACTGTTTAAAGCCCTTCCATGTGCACCTCGCTGTAACAAATTGATGAGTGCGTTTGCCATTTGTTTTGCTGGAGGTGTGTTTGGGGTACCATTTAAATTAACGGCAACACACCTCCCACTCAAGAAGGCACGGTACTATGTGATTAATGCACTGTACTAGTGTGAACGGGCCCTCAAAAACACTGACAGAGACACATTCTCACATACACATACTCACACCAAAAAATGTAAAAACATTTTTTAAGGTCCACCCAGTCTCCCTACCTTACGAGAACTGGAGTGGATCCTTAGACTGGGGTCCAGTGTGTGCTGCTGTGCTGTGACGGAGCTCCATCCATATGTGCATTGTTTGTACAGCTCTCTTGCCTGCCCTGTGGAGGTGTCGAGAGCCAGAATGTGATGTCACTCTGGTCCAGGCACCTATATAGGACATGCCAGGGAGCTGTAAGCAATGCACGTATGAATGGAGCTCCCTCACAGACATAGCCCCATCCCACCTCAAGCTGACACTCAGCACTGGGCATCTTATTTTGAATGGCTGCTTGGTGCGAGAACTGACAGTGCTGCGCTAGGGGGAGGCAGAGGAGTCTCTCACCTAGAAAAGTGGAAGGCATGCGGCGACAGACTGAACACGGGGTCTTGATCCACCAATTGAGAACCAAGGGTTTAGAGTAGAGATGACCCGATCCCACTTTTTCAGGACCAAGTACAAGTACTTCCCCTCATGTACTTGCCAGTACCAATTACCGATACTTTTTTAAAAGGGACAGATGACTTTAAATGGTCCATAGTACATAACATGTTATGTACTATGGATCATGATTTAACCTTCATGTTAGCAGGGCAGAATTGTAAATCTATTGCTGTAGTGTAGTGGAGGTATGTGCTGTATATATGTACTACATATACATCACACACGTCCAGTACACTATAGCAATAGATTTACAGCCAGCTCTGTCCCAGCTTCCCTCACTCACAGTTTCACTCCGATCCCTGTTGCCTCACGCTGTGTATCTTGTAGTCGGCGCTGGGCAGGATCGCGTCTCAGCTTGTGGGAGGCGCTCACAATTCTGCCCCGCTAACATGAATAGGTTAAATCATGATCCATAGTACATATACAGTACACACGTCCAGTATACTGCAGTAATAGAGTTACAATTATGCCCTGCTAACATGAATAGGTTAAATCATGATCCATAGTACATATACAATACATAACATGTAGTTGTACTATGGACCATTTAACCCATTCAGATTAGCAGTGCAGAATTGTAAATCTATTGCTGCAGTGCATTCTATATGTACTGTATATGCACAGTACATATAGAATGCACTGCAGCAGTTGATTGTTCTTGTTCACACAAAAAACTAAGCCCAGGCCCCGTCTTACTCACTGTTGCCTCGATCACGGTGCCTCATAATTTTCCTCACACGTGAGGACGTCGTAGGCGCTGATCTGGAGAGGAGCGTCGCGTCACTGCTACTCTGGTGGGCGGCGCTCCAGGTGGGGTCCTAATTTAGGTGGCCGGCGACCTGGAGCAGTGAGACGATGCTCGGCGCGACACGGTCGGTAATTAGAAAAGAAATAGCGCAAGCTTCGGCGCATTGTATCGGGGCATTTTGACAAGTACTTGTCAAAATGCCCAGGATTGGTCCCGATACCGATGCTAGTACCGGTAATGGGACATCCGTAGTTTAGAGTGAGGTGCCTTGACACAGCAGTGTGGTTTCCACATATATTTGAAAATGAATGCAACAAAAACCCCCTGAAACCATTTTTTTTCTTTTTCTGGATAGCTTGAAAGTGTATTGGGGACCTTTTGTGTTGCTTTAAACATACAACTAAGAAACTCCTCCTGGTTTCCATATTTCATAGAAATTAGGAAAACAAATGCTTGAGTAGCAATTACATGTAAATCATTTTAAAAGTTAAACAAAAGTAGGAGGAAGCCCCTACTGGCACCCATGCATAGTGAGTCCTTCAGAGACTGGGTCAGTCCTGCTGGAGCTGCTGCAGCTCGGGCCCTAAAAAAATAAAAGGGAGCATCTGCAGTGACATCTGTCAGGGACATGTAGCAGACCCCAGTACAGAGAACTTTCAGGAGTCCACTGCAGTAACAAACACTGCACGACTGTTGCAAAAAATTCTCACACTCTGAGAAAAGAGAATTTCCAAGTCTGTGCTAACTGGCGAAACTATCTAGGACTATAAAAGGTGCAGTGTTCTTCTACCAGCAGATGTTGAAGACGTCCAAACAAAGTTTTGACCAGCAATACTGAAAGCAGGCTTTCAGCTACCTGAAGACACTAGAGGTAACTGGAGCGGGGGTTATATAGGCCCCTGAGGTTCGCAATTTTTAAAGAAAAACTCTGGGGAAATTATTAACAACCCTTGCAGTGGGTCTATCCCTGCACTGCAAAGGTTTAATGCTGGTTTGTGTCTAGGGAAGAAAATAAAGTTATACTCACCTGATCCTCAGAGCCAGCTTGCTTAGACTGGTCCCATTGCAGCAGTCTAAGGTCCTGTAAATCATCACGTTCTATACACAGTGCACAGCACGTGAGCACCCCATGGGACATTATATCGCATGGGAGGAGGAGACGGGCTGGAGGAAGTGTGGTCACAGCCGGCCAGCTCGGTGGATCAGGCGAGTATAACTTTTTTTGTATTTTCCTCCCTAGTCCAAAATGAGCAGTTAACCCTTGCAGTGTGGGGGTAAGCCTCACTGCAAAAGTTAATAATAGTTTTCCTCAGAGTTCTGTTTAAGATGGCACTATATAACCCATGGCAATAAACTGTTCCATGTCTCTCAATGGCCGATAAAGTAACAGCTTTGTGAATTATGAACTTGAAACTCTTTTGTGGGAGGCACATTTTGATTGTCAATGTAGCAGAGGAGTACAGAAATCACACACACGAGAAGCAAAATCATTGCACATCAGTAACCTTTATTCTTTTGATGCCATATTCCTATTGTTATGGTGCAAACATATACGAAGCAATGCTCAGTAAGGCTAGGGATACATTGTTAATCAATCGCTTGTGTAACCATAGCCTTGAATTTTACTGCATAAAAGAAACATTGCAAATGCAAACGGTGTTAATGAATAAGACCATTTAATTTCTATTCTTCCTTTTAGATAAACAACTATTCAGAAATGCTTACAAGCCTAACTATTCCTGCAATGTCGTGGCTTTTAAAGTCCACTCCCAGCAAAACTTTTCCTCTTTGAGCTTTGGATAAGTGTGGGTTAGAATTTTTGTCAGGTTTCAATAGAGGACTGTGACCTCATCTGGGCTATTTAGGCTCACTTTGTGCCCTTAGGACAGCAGAAAAAGTAATAGAGGCAACTGAAGACTGAAATGTATAGATGGCAAATCCACATCTGATAGTTCTAACCCTTCCCAACACTAAAAGAAAAAAAAAAAAATTTTTTCATCCTTTTTCCTTTTTTGTAA